ACACAAAGGTACGACGGGCCCGTCACCTTGCCCCCCCCCCCTCCCATTTGAGTTGGGGTGCTCATTTGAGATGGTCTTCGCCCGCCTCAAATAGTCCTTAAATGGGCCCCTAATACTTAAGTAGCCGAAGACCGTCAAAAATGAGCTGAAATGATGATTGAAAAAGGCTTCAAAGGGCCCACAATTGGTGTCTAATGGTCCTCATTCTGGTCAAAGGGCCCTCAGATGGCCTCAAAGGGCCCTCATTTGGCGTCAAAGAGCCCTCAGTTGACGTCAAACGGACCTCAGCAGGCCTTAAAGGGCGTTAAAGGGCCCTGAGCTGGCGTCAAACGGCCCTCCAAAGGCCTCAAATGGCTTAGCTGGCGTCAGAGGACCCCCAGCTGACCTCAGAGGGCACTCAGCTGGCGTCAAATGGCCCTCAGAAGGCCTCAAACGGTCCTCAGTTGATGTCCAACAGTCCTCAGCTGGCGTCAAACGGCCCTCAAAAGGCCTCAAAGGGCCCTTATAAGGTCTTAAAGGGCCCTTAACCGACGTTAAACGGCCCTCAGAAGGCCTGGAAGGGCCCTCAGCTGGTGTCAAAGGGCTCACACCTGACGTCAATAACGGCCCTGAGAGACCTTGCCGGCCCCTGGTTATCTAAGGGACTCCTGCAGTTACCTAAGGGGCCCCCGTTTACTGAGGGGCCCTGACTATTTGAGGGGTCTGTGGTTGCCTGAGGGACCCCTGGTCACCTGGTGGGCCCCTGGTCAATTGACAGCCCCTGTTCACCTGAGACGCCCCTGATTACCTGAAGGGCCCCTGATTACTTGGATTCAATGGCATAGCCAGGCATAGCCAGGGGGCGAGGGGGCACGTGTCCTTTCTCGGTTTTAGGGTCTCCTCGAACCGGAGGGGCCCTGCGGCGCCAATTGGCGGCAGAGGGTCCGTGCTGGCCGCGCTTCAATTCGGAAGGACACCACGCAGGGCTTGTGAGAGCACGTTATGGGCTCATATGTAGCCACATTTATCTACAAAAGGGTCCAACGCCGGCTTCTGAGAGACCTTGCCGGTCTCTGAGGGCCCTTGCCGGCCAATGAGGGATCATCTGCAAGGACCCCACACCTGTCTGTGATGGCCCCGCCCGCCCCACGTCCCACGGCCCACACCAGTGTTTCTGAGGGCCCCCACAACGTCGCATGCGAGGCCCCTCACCGCCACCTCTAAGGGCCCCACAGCAGCGTCCCTTATGGGCCTACGTCGGCGGCTCTGACGTCCCGACGCCAGCGCATCTTGCGGCCACTTACCAGCGACTCTGAGGGCCTCTTACCGACCTTTGAGGGTCTCTTGCCCGCCTATGAAGAGCCACTAGTTCCAGTAACTTTCAGTGCCCCACACATGTCAATGATAACCCCCACTAGTGTTTCTAAGCCCTAAGACCCCCATAACGGCGCCTGTGAGGACCCCACACCAGCGCATCTGACGGCATTTCACCGTCACCCCTGAGCGCCTTATGTCAGGTGAGTTGAGTTGAGTTTACCAGTGCCTCTGAGGGACCCACACTGCACCGGTGACTCTGAGGCCTTCTCTCGCTTCGCTCGCTCAAAATACGGTGCATTTTAATTTTTATGCACACTCCTCAGGCGAAATTGATATTTTCACCTGCCAACTTCCCACAATTTCTCAGGGCTAAGACAGAGGGGGCCCGTCGACAAAGGGGGACTGAACCCACCGTGCCCCCTTCCCATCGAAAGGTTCTGGATATGCCACTGCCTGGGCTGACCCCGGGTCCCTGAGTGACCCGTTGGGGCCCCTTCGAGAGCAGGTGACCCCCTCCTTGGCGGAATCCTGTGTACGTGCCTGCTTTGACCCGACCTAGAAAATTACCGAAGTATTTTCTTAACCCTCGCCGGCCGAGGGGGGCGGGGGGGGGGGGGTGGGTGGCGGGTGCCGCCCCCCCCATAGGTTTTTTTTCGCGATAGCTCCAAACACGCTGGCGATAGAGAGCTGAAACTTGGCACACATGACCTTTGATTCAAGCCGGACCTTTTGACACCAGCCGCATTTTCGGGTCAGGTCAGGTCACTGACCTACGACGTCATAAGTGAACCTCTGCACGGTCTTCAGATGTCGCAACTTCGCAACGCCTTCACTGCCAGAGGAGCTTTCACAGGGAAACGGAACTTGCAGGATCTAGTATCCATTATGAGTCTCACAACTTGTATATCTCGGATTTTTCCTAAAGGTCATACGAGGTCAGGTCATTTTCGTGACCTCACCATTACCCATAAGTCAATGGGGAAAAATGAGAACCGCTATTCTGGCGCCGCGAACGATCTCCAACTATCTCAAGCACACAGAATCGTGATTTCATGCACTCATTAAAATGCGTCACTTTTGCAATGTTGAACTTGCATGACGTCATGTATGACGTCATTAGGGTCATATTAGTTTTTCGCCAATAACTCCTGATCAAATTGAGCTAGCGAATCGGGAAAGTAACCAATGGATTCAAGAAGATCTGCCAAATCAAATAATATGCGACGTGACCTCCTTCAACCGACTTCGTGACCTGGGGGCGCTGACCTGACCGTGACCTGAGGTCAACACCCTAAGTTGACTCACCCAAACAAAAAGTATATCATTCGACGCGCCTGAGCGAGGCGAACACGATGCTGCCAAAATCGCGGATGAAAATTTGTTAGATGCGCGGAAAGAAAAGGCTTAAAACCCTCGCCGGCCGAGGGGGGGGGGCGGGTGCCGCCCCGCCGCCCATAGGGCTTTTCGCGATAGCTCCAAACACGCTGGCGATAGAGAGCTGAAACTTGGCATAGCTGACCTTTGATTCAAGCCAGATCTTTTGACACCAACCGCATTTTCGGGTCAGGTCAGGTCACTGACCTATGACGTCATAAGTGAACCTCTGCACTGTCTTCAGATGTCGCAACTTCGCAACGCCCTCACTGCCAGAGGAGCTTTCACAGAGAAATGAAACTTGCAGGATCTAGTATCCATTACGAGTCTCAGAACTCTTGTACATCTCGGATTTCTCCTAAAGGTCATACCTATGAGGTCAGGTCATTTTCGTGACCTCACCATTATAAGTCAATGGGGAAAAATGAAAACTGCTATTCTGGCGCCGGGAACGATCTCCAACTATCTCAAGCACACAGAATCGTAATTTGATGCACTCCTTGCAAGGTAAAATGCATCACTTTTGCAATGCTGACCTTGCGTGACGTCATTTATGACGTCATCAAGATCATTTTAGTTATTCGTCAATAACTCCCGACCAAATTGAGCTAGCGAGTCGGGAAAGCCACCAATGGACTCAGGAAGATCTGCCGGATTGAATGATATGCGACATGATCTCCTCCGACCAACTTCATGACCTGAGGTCGGTGACCTGACCGTAACGTGAGGTCAACACCAAACAAAAAGTATATCATTCGACGCGGCTGAGCGAGGGCGAACACGATGCTGCCAAAATCGCGGCTCTGCGGCCGTTTTTTTTTGCGAAGTTATTCACCAAAAACTGAACCGTACCTTGGGGCACCTGACATGACCTCAGAGGTCACCGGTTGACCTAAGATCTAAAAATCGGGTATCAATCTCTGCGTCTCGTAACGGCGCACACGCTCGTTTTTCCGCGACGCGCTAGCTCCACCAGGGGCAAAACGGCGAGCGGGGTGTCGTGCCCGCCCCCCCCCCCCCCACTCGGCCGGCGCGTGTGTAGAAAACCAATAGGTCCGGCGAGGGGGCAAGTTTCTGCTTCGGCCTTCGTTTTGTTCAAAGCCAGAGTTGAATCAGTCAAGTGTTTCACACTATGTTCATTAGCATATGAGGGCCTAAAAAGGATGCGTGTCGGTGAAGTCTACAATGATATAATCCCCTGCATTTCACGATTCAATTAAAAAATCACCAGGAGTTTGCCTTATTAGTTACCTTGGTCGTTCAATAATTCATTTCTTGTCTCAGGTTGAAACATTAAGCCTACAGCTACCGAAAGTTTGCACAACAAACCAGCTTCTTAACTTCACCACACTCCGTTGTGGCTTAATAATGAGAGAGGACGTTCACTCGGCTTTCACCTTGCTCACGACAACTCTTCCGCTAGATGGCAGGTCTGAGCTTCATCCATGGCCGAACAAAATGATATTCAGTCAGTGTAGTCACTGACACCAGTCAGGGTCGGCCAAGGCACTATAAGAGGGGACGGCAGCCGCAGTCCCAGAAATATTGTAGCGAGAGTACAATTTATATTTTCAATATTCGAAACTGTACGAAACTGGTACGAAAACTGTTATGATATTTTATATCGTGAAATTTCATGTACTCTCCACCAACTGACCAATGTCGGTAAAAAGGGGTTCCATCCACTGAAGCACCGCCCTTATAGCTTATCTCAACTAATTACCTATAACTAATAAGCCCCGCAAATGACAGCTTTATGCGTTCCATTTCAATTTAGGAGGATATTATTGAGGTCGTTTTAGGTTTCCTGTTTAATCTCCTTCGGCGTAATAAATCCTTCTTAACAGTCCGTTTTCAATAAACTCATCAGTTCCGCCCTACGACGACCATACCAATCAGCTCAATACCGGCGCTAGTAGTGATGACACCGTCGTTTTCCAAGGTAGCCATATAAGGCTCTTGTTGAGCCGCCGTGTCCCAGTGCGGCTCCCATCGCCGTCGTGGTAACAATAGCGCTGTCCTTCACCCGCGCCCCGGGTGGCAAAAGCCGTTCGTCATATTTCCTCGTTCATTTAAAAACAGAGATCTATTCTACTACCCGAAGGTGCTCTCCTGGAGTTACACATATTTTCAGTGTTCTCTGAAACTGAAGAGTTTTGCACCATTTTTAGCCGCGAATTCTCTTCATTTGATCTAAATCCTCGCTAAAGCTATCAACCAAAAACCATTTCACCGGTAGACCGGCGGCCATGTTGGCGTCTGTTCTTTTCCTTCTGCTGACGGTGGCTAATGGACAAGCGCAGCATGGTTTCGGGAGGATCACGGGGAGGATGTGGCTGCTCGGTGTCGGCCGTTTCCAGCCTCAGCTGAGCTTCATGTACCTGCCGCCACCACAGGAGGACCTGGAACTCAGAGGTGAGAGTGTGAAGCTTACTGGTGAGCATTGGGTACTCACAGGGAAGGCTGTGAAACTTAGAAGTGAGGAGTGGAAACTAACAAGTGAGCAAGTGGGTACATGTGAGGATATGGGACTCTATTTGTGAGAATATGGGAATATGGGTAAAAAATTCAGGTTCTGTAAAGCGCAAAATGAAACATAAAATATTGTATAACACGAGATACAGGCATGGTATACCTGACGAATCATATTATAATTCGTCATATTAGATTATGGCGCATCTTGATTTTGTGTTTTGATCTCGTCTCAGGCAAACGAAGAAACCGCCATAATTTTGTTGTGTATGAGCCCCGCGTTAACTAACTCACTAACAAGTAACGACGATTAAAATCGATACACCACAGCTTTTGTTTAAAAGCCTTCTTTGTTTAACTTTATGATGTGGATGAGGCGAGCTGATGCATGAACACCAGCAATATCTACCTTTAGCAATGTCTACCTTTAACAATGTCTACCTTTACCTTAAGCAATGTACGCCTTTAAATGTCTATCTTAAGCAATGTCTACCTTTACCTTTAGCAATGTCTACCTTTAGCAATGTCTACCTTTAGCTACGCTGTCTGTTCCAGAGGCGTTTAAGAGGCACGAAGTTATTCCGGATGTCATTGACGAGGCGCCCAGGAGCAGACTCACGGTAAGAAAATGTAATACAAGCGCAATTTCAATGTAGGGTCCTATTCTACAGGCATGTTTTTCCTTTCAAGCTGCTATAATGAAAAAAAAAAACTTGATAATTAACCTAACAATAAATACGATAATGCGATATTCATGAATGGCATGCTCATTGCTAAATATTGATTTTTCTTCTTGACGTTTTAATCGTCTGCTGTATTTTGATGCTAAAGAATAAATAATAAAGAATATAAAAAGAAAGCAGGGCTAGCGTGTGTTGTCTTTTGAAACTGCGAACGACGTCAGTATAAAATTATTCTTTCTTAAGCGGACAATAAGAAAAGACTGACAATTCTTCAACTGGTTGCTACGGTAAATTATCACGTGACCTGTGCGCGTGTTCCAGGTGGAATATTGTACGGGAGTCTCGGCTCAGCTGGGAAATCAGGTGACCCCGGCAGAAATCAGGTGTCAGCCTCACGTGACCTGGCCGGCCGAGCCGGGAAGTCTCTATACGCTGGCCATGACGGGTGAGAGCGCTGGAGAGGGGACGGATAAAATATGTGGCATGTTTGTATGGTGGCAATATGCATGGTTACACAGTTATCGGTTGTGGTAGGTATAAATATCATGATCTATGCCTCTATCGGTATTCTGAGGTGGGAAGACCAGGTGTTGTCGATTGCAGCCTAGAATAAGCATAAGACAGGAAAGATAGGCAGACAAATAAATTCAACTTTGGGTAGGCAGACAGGCAATAAGATACATACAACATAATATGTTTTACATAGATACATGACTATTAGATTAATGAGAGACGGAAGTGTGTTTAGTGTTCGGTGTATAATCATACATCAGAAAGCAGATCATAGGCAAATAGTTGCTTATTTCTGTATATTCTCTCTGTTATACTATTTGAAATTGTTTTAACGGACTTTCACTGGGTAGTGGGTAAAAGTTATTATTGGTCCCGGTACTCCGACTTGTATTGAAAAGTCTTCGATGGGGCACAATTTCAAATAAGCATTTACCTGGGTATTAACTATTAAGACATGACTCTTCAGTCTGTTATACTAATTATTTTATTACACTTTTTCCAGACCCGGATGTGCCGAATAGAAATAACCGTACTGAGGGTGAGGTACGCCATTGGCTGGTGGTAAACATTCCGACCAATCAGCTGAAGGCAGGTGACGTCATCAGCGACTACATCGGCTCCGGAGCGCCCGAGGGTTCCGGTGAGTTGCGCGGACGGACGATAGGCATGGCAGCACGCGCATTTTGTTTTTGTCAATTATGCACAAATTATCTGTGACAGCTATTTTATATAGGAATAGGTATTATAAGAGCGGTTGTTTTGATCTATTTTTTTTCGTAGGTTACATTCTGTACCGAACGATGCATGCATATATTGTGGATAGATAATCAGTTCACTCCGTGAAATACCTACAGGTGTGCTGTTCGGTGCTTGTAGGAGGCGGAGATTATCCATTATGCGCCAGCTCAAGCGGAATTCTCCCTTTGTTTGAACAATGTGTCTGGTGAATGCGGTCTTTGCTTTATAATGGTCCTTAACCCTGGCCCGCACATGGGGGGTGGTTGCCACCCCCCCCCCCCCAGGTAGTCTTTCTGCTCTGCACTCAACATTTTTAGAGCTAGAAGGCTGATTTTTCGTATAGCTGCTCCTCTATCCTTTCTTGATGTCCAATGGAAATTTCAAGTTTCTGTGATTTTTGGTTTCGGAGATATGACCTTGTTTTTCAGGTCATGTCATGACCCAAATGGCCAATTCTCAACATCTTGCGCTGGCTATGGGCCTTGTGAGCTTTTGACACCTTGATTTCGGCCTTTTTTGCCAGTCTTACCTCCCAACTACCATGGAACATGTTGTTCGACGATGTACAGATGTCAAGGTCAAGGTCAAGGTCAACCTAGGTCATCTAAGATAATTGCGTTTTAGGTAAGCGGAAATTACTTTTTGTCAAGTTTTTTGACTACATTTTTGGTAAAAGCTTCTCAGATCATGATTTCATGTAATATGGACACAAAAACAATCGGTGCACACATAAGTATACACACAGACACACACAGACATACAAACACATATTATTGACCTTGACCTAACTTGACCTGACATGACCTCAGCAGCAAAAATCTGGTCGGGTAGTGTGACAAAGAGGTTCTAGCTGGCTTGGCACCAGAAAACAGCATCGTCATCGGTATATGGTAAGCAGCGCACTTGATATCCAACGTTGATCCAAAATAGCAACATTTTTTAGTTTGACCTGACCTGGAAGGTCAATGACTGACCTGAGAAGGTAAAACTGGGTATCATTGGATTCGTCTCTTCCCAAAGAATCTTTTTCGTCTTTACCGCTAAGCTCTATCTCCATGCAGGAACGAAATGGCGCGGGGGGTGGCAACCCCCCCCCCCCCCCATGTGCGTTCTAGGATGGGAAAATGGCATGTGCGGGCGAGGGTTAAAAAGACCCTCTCACCTTAAAAAAGTTAACGAATTGGCATAAAAGTGATGCATCGTGGTTCAGAAAGAGCAAAAATGAATAGGTATCTTACTAGATACCTAATCATTTTTGCTCTTTCTGAAACAGGCATGACTGCAGGCATGTTTTCCATGTGAAAAATGCACTAGTCATACCTATCTCAAGCACAGGGAATCGTGATTCATAATTATTCTTGCAACGCTGAGGCTTAAATTGTGCATTTAAGACCTTGCATGACGTCATATAAGACGCCACTAAGGTTGTTTGGTGCAGTAGAAGCTTTTCGCTAATAACTTTCGATCAAATTGAGCCAGCGAGTCGGTTGAGCCATCAATTGACTCAGAAAGAACTGCCACATCGAATGATATGCAGCATGACATCCTCCATGCAGCTTTGTGACCCGGGTGGCCTTGACCTGACCTTGACGGCTGAGGTCAACATCCTAAAAAGACTTAATCAAAACAAAAAGTATATCATTCGACGCGCCTCGCCACCACGAGTACGATGGTGCCATATTCGCGGCTCTGCCACCATTTGTGGCGAAGTTATTTACCAAAAATCAAACCCCTACTTAATGACACTTGACCTGACCTCAGGGGTCACCGGTTGTTGTAAGACCTTGGAATCCGATACCAATCGCTGTGGTTCGTAAAAACGCAGACGCTGGCTTTTTCCGCAAGTATCTATCTCAATTAGGAGCGAAATGGCTACGGGGGGGGGGGGGGGGGTCTTATCTACCCCCTCTTTACCGTGTTCGCGAACAGTTCATAAACGTTCGCGAACTGTTCGTTGTTTGTTTACCAAAATTTGACCGATGACGTCACTTGTTTGCGAACACATTTGTTCGTGAACAGTTTGTTTGTTTGTTTATTTGAAAAATTAAACAAACACCAAACCCTGGGTATCTACCAGAGTTCACAAAAAAAGTAACAGCAAAGTTCATTGGAAAGCAGGGGCGGATCCAGAAAATCTCCAAGGGAGGGGCCATTAGAAACCAGGAGGCCCCCATAATCCCACCTGTTGGAGGCCCCATCTTCCCACTTGTTGGGCCCCCCCCCAAAAAAAACTGCGTCTATTGAGCTTATCTAGCTGTTCAGGCAACATCTCAACATGAATAGCCACTTTATTTTCAGGAGGCCCCCTTTTCAGCTTTTTAACTTTTTATTTTATTTTTGAAAAAAATCGGCCAAGGGGGGGCATAGCCCCCATGCCCCCCCCCCTTGTATCCGCGCCTGTTGGAAAGTATTCACCATCTTCTTTTTAGATATTGACTTTTTATTTTGGGGGCTCCACTGTTCCTGTGACATCATTTTCTTTAACTATTTACTTTAAAGTGACCATCCCACCTTAACATTAGTTTTAAGTTGAGATAGCCAAAATGGGGTCCCTGGCTTGCACTTACCGGTTTGATTAAGCACTCACAACATCGAGAAATGCCTTAAATCGAAAACATCTAATTTCAAAGTTGCAGCACTTTGGATTCAGAGGGGCCAATGCATTTGAATGCCCCCTCAGAATGTGTGACGTCAGCGCAGATCTAACGATTTTAAATCTTTTACTAAAATTTTTGGTAGCACGCGGTGTGGTATACACCACTTTGCGCGCAACAAGTGCCGCACTTTCAGGTGGCAAACTATTGCTTCCAATTACAGTCGCTAGGAACCGCGGAGATCCCAAAAAGTAAGCAAAAGTAAAGCATAATATCTTGAAAACCAGTGAATATTTTTCGGTGAAATTTGGTAGATATTCGTTTTCGCTCTTTCTAAACCGAGCGACATCACTTTCACGCCATTTCATTAAGTGGGAGGGTCCCTTTTAAGTAGACCTAGGTAACCCACCTTTCGAGTCCGAAACACCTCCCTGGTGCTGCTCTGCCCCCACCACCACTGGCCACCTGATGAACTAACAGTTCCGTCTCCCGCCGCCAGGTGTGCACCGCTACATCTTCCTGCTATACCGCCAGCCTGGCCTTATTTCGGCCGACCCAGAGCTCCGCCAGACCTTTCGCCAGGCCCGCGGACGCTTTGGGTGGAAGGTCAGCCAGTTTGCACGTGAAAATGGTCTCGGTAGACCGGTGGCCGGTAATTTCTTCAGGGCCGAGTACGACGATTATGTGCCTGTGCTCTATGCTCAGCTCAATGATTTTCCCTGATGTTTTATGACACTTTTGCACATGTTTTTTTTTATGCTAGAGAGTGTTGATCGCCAGCGACACTCGGGTCACTGTATCAATGTGAGTTTATGTTCTTGTTCTTGTAAGTCCACCTTTCTTTACACATCCCTCAAGCTGCATGTAGTTTCGCAGCATACACCCACCTACTTTTGATGGTATCGTGTTCGTGTTTTTCATACTATCTTCTCGTACCAACTCACTTCTCTTTGTACCTGGGTGATGGAAGAGAATCATTTTTAGATCAGTGTTTCTACTTATTTTTAATTTGATTCCAAGCGATCATCACAAAAGGTGAAAATAATACAAGTTAAACAAAAGCGACGAGGGGGTGAAATATACTGGCACTATAGGAGAAACTATAAAACTGTACGCTTTTTGCATTATTGTCAATTGCGTTTTCATTGATTGCGTAGCAAAACATAAGTGTTTTTTTTGGCAAAAAAGTAGGCACGATTTACGGTAAAATTTCCACAACAAGTTGAAGCAATGTGTCGTTTCTGAATTCTGTTATTGTATCATGAAGAGAACGTAAATCCATACAGCTAGGAAGCCATGCCTAGTTGTTAAATAAATGAAACTCAATAACTCTACAATCAAAGATGGTTTTGAAAGACAGCTATGTAATATGTATGGACGAGATCACGTAGGTGGTTCTGACTCCTGACAATTTAAATGCAGCATGCTCGGTGCAGTTTTATTGTCCGGTCTATGCGTTTAATATCATACTCTGCTCGTGCCGCCTTGCAAGCTGTAATAAACGACATGGCAATAAACGATATATTGAATTGTTTTTACGTTATTTGGCATTGTGTATTGGTTCTGTTCATCGTACCACAAGGGGACGCCTAATTTAGTTAACGCAAGCCTGAAGTCATAATGGTCTCACTCCAGCACTTAGCACGGCTTCTGAACAAAGTCAACAGTCCAGTTTTCGAAACGTATTGATGGCTATCGACTCTCTAAAATACAAATACAAAGTGTTAGACCTAGTACCGGTGACTATTGTACACTCACTGTTGACACTCAATTGAGATGTTCCCTCATAGCAGCAATAAGTAATTTGTCGTGATATACGCATATTACCTCATCTACCTAACCTAAACTGAGTAATTGCTCTCAAGTCTCATCTGGAACGGTCTTTGAAATCGGTGTTTGACTTGACTCCTGAGAGATTACAAATTACGATTAAGTACGTGTTGATATAAGAATCTTCTGTATTGGTGCATAACCTTTGTCCTTTGTTTACGTTTACATTGTGTCCTTGTTCATTACTTTCGAGAGGCTTACTCTGTTCAACATACCTAGTATTTCTTTCGTATTACAATCTTATTTATTTGGCCCTAAGCCCCTGCACAAACATCATAATTATTTGACCACATCATGTATTGGCTACCTTGTAAATATTCGTTTATTCACTCAAAACCTTCCACATCACTGATTGCTTGATGACGCCCACTTTTGCCATTCAATTTTCTTATGCCGTGCGCGCACACTCAAAATGAACATCAAATAATGTCGCCTTTATCTAACAATTGAAAATGAACACACGCGAAACCTATATATTCTGCGCGAAACCATCTCCTTGGCATAATGTGCTTCGTTGTGCCCATGCACGTGATTGTGAACTTTGAAGACATATGTGCGCCTCCATTTGCTTAGCTGAGATCAGCGGATGACGACACTAGAGGCACACGTTGCTATGGCAACGCGCTGACGCGCAGTGCGCGTCCCTCGAACACGCGGCTCCAGCCTCCATGGCAGGCAGACATACGGACTCCTGTGAATTCGGACAAATACAGGCTGGGTTAGAACATGTGCAGAACAGAATTGTGTGGTCAGAACACGCACAAACACTCGCAACATATTTATTTACGCATAGACAAACGGGTTTAGTAACAATAATAGAAAAAAACTTGTGCGTGAAAGCAGACATGCCGTACAGCTGCAACAGGCAACAAACAAGCAAACAATGGTAAGACGTCGTGACCAATCATATTGGTCAGTGGCATATTTTGACATTTTGATTAACGTAAGGATGATTTTGAGTTCCAGTTACAGAGTGTCCAGTTTTCCGCTTCTCGTCACCTCACCTGTGACTCCGCCGCTCCTGAGCACGGAGCTGCCGCCGAGAAGCAGGCCAGATTCACTCCACAGTCGGCATCCGTGCTGCACGGCCGCAAAAACCGCAGCTCTAGACGGATCGCGCCCGGGTCGGCGCTGCACTCCGCCGGCCCGACCGCAGGCTGTGGCTTTGGTATCGGCGCCTCCACAGGCGGCAAAGCCAGGCCGTCAAACAGGGAAGACTGCGGCCGGTCGAAGGTGTCTGGTTCGGGGAGATAGGACGGTTTCTGGGAGCGAGGTGGAAGGTTTGAAGTGGGTAGGTAGGAGTTCTCCTGAAGCGAGGGTTTCACCTGGGGCTCTGGCAGGTAGGCGCTGGGATTTGAGGCGCCGGCCGGACGTGAAAGAGACTGAGATCCGGGCCTCGGGAGATATGACCTCCCCCCGCGACCACCAATGAGCTCGTCCGGGAGGTGCGCCGGCAACGCTATGGCAATGTCGTCGGCGAGTCCATTCGGATGGGAAGGGGAGGTATCTTCACCCTCACCATACGGTGCCAAATTTGTGAAAGCTGCCAGCAATGCAGGGACCTTCATGCTTGTCTCGACATTGGCAACATTTTCGGGTACCCGCGGGTTTTCCAAGCCTTCTTCAACAGAAACCACAGGGTTCCTGATAGCGGGCCTCACCCTCGCCCGCTTCCGGCTTCCCCGTCGCCCAAGGGCATTCCGCGTGCCACTCCTGAAACGTCCTCGCCTGACTGGTGCCTCCTCCTCCTCCTCATCTTCCTCCTTGATCGGAGAAGAATCCCTCGAAATCACCGCCTGTTCTTGCGGGGTATCATCAACGAAAGAGGGAGATGTAGTAACGGGTCGGCGACGTCTAGGTGGCTGGCGAGGCACAGCGATCTGGGTGGTCGCCGTGCGGGAGAAACCACCACCACGACGTCGTCCTGGCTGTACAACATCCTGGTCCTGAAGCGACGCAATCGAGGAAGGAGCTGTGGAAGGGGTTGATGTCCCAGCTTGTCCCGATGTGAGCGTTGAATGTCCCGGGAGGCCGTCGATCCCGATATCCGCGATGGGAAGCCGACCTGTCTCCTTTATGTAGGCGTCGAGGTTGAAGCGAGATCCGGCACGTCCGGTAGCTCGCTGTCGCGTGCTATCGGTTCCGGAAGACGACGGAGATGAGAATGAAGACGTTGCTTGCTGACGTCCCACGAACTGCGAGCGACCTGGTTGGCTCAGAGACTCCGAGGTCGGAGAGGTTGGTGTCTCGGTGGTAGTTCCTCCTCGCTGGCGGGATACCCGGCGTCCAGTGTTGAATCGTCGACCCGAGCCTCGAGCTCTACCTCCACGTCTTGACGTTGGCGCTTCAGCAGTCGGAGCGACATCTATCGGATCAACAGTAGCGCCGCCACGTGACCGATGCTGGAACTGCTCATCGCCGTCGGTGTTGGCATCGGTGTCGTCCTCGTCCTCTTCTACGGGACGCGGACCGATGGGGAAGCGGGCACGGTACCGGGAGAAGCGACGGCGACTGGTAGCTGAGTCGTCGGTGGTGGCATCATCGGCAGTGACGCGCCGGGATAGACGTGGCGTCTTGTCGGCAGTGGCGCCATCTATAATAACAGCTGCTGCCGCCACCAGCTGAAAACAGAACAGGAACGGCGAGCTGTAAGTAATGCAGGTCTCTGGTCTTTTGCTTGCTAAAGGCCAACGGCTTCTATAGCCAATAATATTTAGGTGTTATGTTTTCAAACATTTTCGGTTTGTTTGCAATACACCAATGATGACGTGCGTGATATATAGGATGAAAAAGCTCCGGGTATAGACTAATAGGTGCTATCTAACGTTACGTAAGGTTCACTTGGTGGATTATAAATGTGTTGTCCCACTTTCCCCCTAGACCTCGGTTTCATTCTCTGTCTTTTGTCTGTTTAACTGGCGGCTGCACTCGAAATATTTAAAAGTAGCATTCCTAACACATTGAATATGTATAATAACTCAGTAAAAAGCCTATAGACACGTTTTCCTGACCATGGAAATGGAAAGTGCATGCAAGCATTTTTTTCTGCATTTTGTTGAAGCGTTGTAACAATATCGCAATATAAAATTTATGTATTGGAGTAGGAAGAAGAGTGGCTAGGGATGCTTTTGCACAAACAGGATATAGGCGAAGGAGGTGTGAAAAAAAATAGTGAAAAAATATTCACATGATTGAAGGCGAGCCCAAATGACATGAAAGCGTTAACAAAACGTATGACTAAACTGCCCGTTTTATGGGCTTCCACAAAACTCGTCAAATTGCTCCCTAAGCCATCTCCACAATGTCCATGCATATCCGATATCATACCGCAGCGTTTCTGACTTCCCCCTTCCGCAATTTTCCTCATCATTCCTCTCGGGAGAAGTCGGTGACCTAGACATAAATCTATCAGCTGTCTCGACAACAAAAAACCTTCCCACTCTCATCCCCCGCCACCCAGAAAGAGCGAGAGTGACCTTGAAATCTGCCCGACTCTTCCGGAAGTCGCCGACTGGGGAGAGCGGGAGAGGCAGGAGAGAGGGTGGGAGAGTGGGGGTGTTGGCAGGTGGCCGGACGATATATCAGAGTTTGACCTTGTGGCGGGATCGGCTCAGAGCCACGCCTGTAGGAAACTGAGAGAGCAGTGGAGGGCGGGCTACCCGGTAGGGCATGGCTGGTGCTGGGGTCTCTCTCTCTCTCTCTCTCTCTCTCTCTCTCTCTCTCTCTCTCTCTCTCTTTCTCTCTCTGCCTCTCTCTGTCTCTGTCTCTCTCGCTCTCTCTCTCTCTCTCTCTCTCTCTCTCTCTCTCACTCTCTTCTTCCTCCCTCTCTCTCTTTACCTCTCTCTTTGTCCCTCTCTTTCTCTCCCCCTCTCTCTCTCCCATTCACCCTTTCTCTCTTTTTGCCTCGGTAAAAAAAGGTGGCTCAAGCGTATCAAATAAACATATTGAACCGCGTAAAAGCATTACAAGTGTATCACGACCACATTGGTGTTTGTGATCGATGTTATTAATATATCAATACCAAGCAAATATCTCTATTCTCAATCACGCGCTATCGCCGTTATGACGCAATAAGGCATGGCCACACTGACCGCGACATTTCATCACGCTATGACGTAGCAATATCGGTATGAACAGACACTGCGTGACTTTTCGGTACGGCCGGGCCGTGAGCTGGTCAAGGTTGAACGGTGGGAACCGCCCCTTAGCTCGACACTGCGAACGCAGGTGGGGCCGGGAAGGGATGGAAGTGGTGTTCGATATGATGATCATATCATAGGTAAATATGGAAGGGGGATATGATGGGTAGCATTGATTTGTTGCTAGTGACTGCATTGACTTGATGC